GGGTATTTATCTGTATTTTACACAGTGCCTTTAAAACACAGATCCTGGCAATGCAAATTCACGTTTCAGGCAAAACTCTTCCAGAGCTCATTGCTTTGTGCAGCAACCCCCAAGCCCAGCACTCCCCTATCTCTTTCCTCTATACAAACATACAAAGGGATAATAAAATAGCTAAGAAGCAAGAGCAGTAAAATTTTGTGCCCTGAGGGGAAAAATGGCATATATTGCCCTGAGCCTTTAGCTGAGGCCAAAATTTATATAGAGAGACTTGGGAACTATTTTCTTTCCTAGTGCAATATTTTACCTCTATTGCCCTCAGATCCAGTCAATATTTGTATAATATATATATAAAAATAACCTCAGATAGATGGATAAAACCCAAGCAAAATTCACCTCGGAAAGCCTTTTATTCCAACTGGAAAATTGCCCTGCAAATGTACTCCACACAATACCCACTACTTCACTTGGAAGTGACAGTTGCAGCTGTTAACGCAGCTACATTATCTCATCTTGGGAGACAAATTCCGGGCTATATTTCACTGTAGCCTCGTAATGTATATATGCCCTAAAGACTGCTCCAGCCAGATCTGTCTTGCTGTATAGATTTCAGATAGGGATGTATACTTCCCAGGGTTTTTCCCTTTCCCTGGGTTGCTCGGGGAGTGCAGGAGGTTAATAAAACACCGCAGCCTCGCTGTCATCACGCCAGTTTTGGGACAGGGGTGAGAAGCAGAAAGGAGAGGAGCCCACCACATCTTACCCCAGTGAGGAGGGACTCCTTGGAGCTGTGCTTTGCCTACACTCAGAGGCACCACGGGCACAGAGGTGAGGGTGAAAGTGGCAGGGATTTGTTAATTCCCAGCTTTTCCATGCCCCTGCCCCTACCGAGCTCGGTGTCTGTTTGCTCCGGCTCACACCTGGCTCTCGGTGGGATTTTCAGAGCTCTTCCTCCTTGTTAACCCCACATCCTACTGCAGATCACAACTGAGGGTTGTAATGAGGAATTCTGGGACTGTCAGGAAAGAAAATATGTAAGTAGGAGGAAAAAAAAATCATCTATTAGGATTTTAAATAGTCTCATGAGTCTCGCCATTATTTGAGACACTTAAGATCACTTGACAAAGCCCTGGAGAATACACAGAAAGCTAGACAGGGACCTTTGATGGATTTTTAAAACTATCTAATGCGCCTTTTCCAACTCTATCCACTAAAAAAATGACTAATCAGTCGCTGTTCTTCATTACCACGATTATCAGTGTCCTGAAAACGCCCGACACTGCCTCTTCGTCCCCAGCTGAGCAGCCCTTCCCACTCTCTGCCAGTAATTTTCAAGGCAAACATCTGTGCTGGAGAGCATCCTGCCCGAGGAGCCCCCGTGTTTCTGCTCTGGGTAATGCCAGACCTCTCCGTGGGGAGCTCAGAGGGTGGGGATCACTTCCCAGCTCCAAGAAAATCACCTTGCAGAAGCCCTGGAAGCTCGTTGTACTAATAACTGCCTGCTGTGGATCTGGGATAACCTGGACAAGGAAGGCTGGTTCTGGCAGGAGGTCACTTCTTCATTCAAATGTAGAATTCAGCCCTCCATGATTTTGCAAAGGTTTTGGGAAAGGGTGAAGTGGAAAGAAGCCTTTCTGGCTAGCAGAAAGTGCATCATCTCAGTAGTTTTTCAGCCCATGGGTCTTCCAGCATGGCTCTGTAGCACCAAAAATTAACCATCACATGGAGATGGAGAATATTGGTAATTATTGAGGAGCTGCCCCATTCCTGGAAGTGTACAAGGCCAGGTTGGACAGGGCCTGGAGCAAGCTGGGATAGTGGAAGGTGTCCCTGCCCACGGCAGGGGGTGAAACTGGATGATCTTTAGGGTATCTTCTAACTCAAACAATGCTGTAATTCCATGAAAATGCATGTGAGGAGCCAGGGCAGCTCCCATAGAGGGGATGAACCAAGGAAAACCAAAGCTGGTGAGCATCTGTACTCACGCAGCTCCTGCTCTTTGAGGTGAACATGGGAGAAGTTTACAGGTGACTCTGAGGAAAGTTAAAAAAAAAAAAAAAAGAAAAATCAAGGAAGCATTTTTATCTGGCTAATTTTCTCTCCTGGAATTAGTTGTGTGAATGGAGAAACCTGCTGGAGCAAGAAGAGAGAAAAGCCTTGGACGGAGTGGCTGCGCCTCCCAGGCCCTGAAATTTAAGATCTTTATAAATGATCTGTTAAAACTATAGTGACGATAAGCTTATGAATCATGATCTATATTAATCAGGGCTGCTGATACGGAAAGATTAATTGAAACGTGCAGTTCTACACAAATGATAAAGTGGTAACAATTTAATATCAGACAAGGAGAGTGAAGAAATTACACTCCAAGCTTCATGCATCATTACTATGGATATTAATATTTTACACAGCGCAACAGCATCGGGAATCATAATGAAAATCCATAACTAGTGCACAGACATGATTAAATACAACAGTCTTTAGGTGCTGTTTGGTGACGGGGGCTTAGCCATATTTCACTCCCGCTGCCGGTGATTCGAGTGATAGAGTCTAGACGTGGGTGATTAAAAAGTGTTCCTCCTAAAGGCTGTTAACCTTTTACTACTGAAATGAATTTCTTTGATTTTTAAATTATGCCGCTCACTCTGTGGTGTGGGTTGTTTTTTTTTTTATTTTTTTTATTTTTTTTTTTCCCCCAAATCAAAACCTCGTCCGGAATATCAATGGAGCGGGTTCCCCAGGTGGTTGACAAAGCAGAAGCGGAGCGCCGGGAAGCAGCCAGGGAGGGGTATTTAAGGGTGGGAAGGAGAAAGGCAGGTGATGTGGGGGAAGAAAACAGGTTAAAAAAGCAGGTTTTCAGTGCTCATCATTACAGTGGTGCATACATTAGATGCAATAGCCGGAGCTGTGGAGGGTCATAAAGGTTTTATCCGCGGAGCGCGGAATGGGCGCATTACTCACGAGTGGCACCGCGGCGCTGAGTTATGCGCCTCATTCCCAACCTGCACCCATAAAAAACTTTATGCTGCACCACGCCGTGACGTCTGTGCTGCCTGGGGATTCATCAGCTCTAATGGGGCTGGATCAGGCCCCGAGTGAAAGTGCAGAGACAGGAGGGGAGTGACGCCTGACTCAGCACTGGGAAAAAAACCTTTTCATTGGATAACTCTCAGGAGTTCAAGCAATTTGAACCCTCCAAAGTCAGAGCTGGAAGAAATGACATCTTTGAAGAAATGGCATCTGGACTTTCTGGAGAGATTAGGAGGGTCCAACCCAGCATATGCATTGTTTTAGCTGCTAAAAATCATGGAATGATATAAGGGTTGGAAGGAACCTTAAAGATCATCCAGTCCCAGCCTCCTGCCATGGACAGAGACATCTCCCACTAAACCAGGTTGCTCAGGTCTTATCCAACCTGGCCTTGAACACTTCCAGAGAAACTTTGAGTCCAGCAGCTCGTGGCCTTGCCATCTTGGACTACACAGGGGGAGTTTTGAGGTGTCCCACTCATTGTGCCTCATCCATGGTGTGGGAAAGGGAAGGTTCTGTGGGGTCTCAGCCTGAAACCCTGCAGTTCCCAGGCTGTTGGTTGCTGGGAACAACTTCCATGAGAGGAAGTCCCACACATCAGAGAGGGTTTGGAGATGCCATATAGCTCAGGGTGGTTCAGGTGGCATCTGCCTGAAAGAAATTATAGGCCTGACACTGGTAACAGTGCAAGGAAATGTAAATCTACTCAAATTTCCAGCTTGTGCCACTGGAAGCTTGATTTCTTATGGGTAAAATAAAGAGTGAGCAGTTACCAGCAATCATGCCGTGATTAATATTGCACATTCCAATGGACATCTAGAGCCCACTAACTCAAAATTCTTGCCTGTGTTTTATAGAAACAAGATGTTTCACATTTTCTGGGAACCTTGATTGAAGGCTGGTAGGTCCAGTCTTAGGTGCTGTGTCACAAATTTCAGAGATTGTGAAATGGGCTTGGTTGGCCCATTTCTCAAAGCCCCATTGCTTGCTGTGATTCTCCTTGGTATTCTGTATGTTATAAAAAAACAGGAGGGAAAAAGAAAAAAGAAAAAGGAAAAAAGAAATAGAAAAAAAAAAAAAGAAGAAAGAGAAAGAAAAAAAAAGGAAAAGGAAAGAAGTAAAATTAAAATATATATAGTAAAAAATAGAATACAAAAAAAGTATAAGAAAATAGAAGAAAAAGTAAAGAAAAATAAAAAGAAAAAAGAAATGTCTATCTTCCATAGCTGGAGAAAAATTCGTCCATCTCTCCAACTGTGGTACTAACATTTGTGGACGTTGTGCTTTGGTTCCTTAGAAAGAGTCTCAAAGCATTTTTGTTTTGTCAGGAGAAAGGAGAAGAAATTAGCATTTCCCAGGTATCAGAGAACTCTCTTCTGGGTTAACCCCTGACATGTGAGCATGGCTGGAATTGGGATGTCCTTTCTTCTGTGGCATTCATGACAAGACACACTCACAGTGCCAACATCCAGAACCAAGGAACACAATCCAGGACAAGTATGCAGGCACAGATCAAAAAATTCTGGGGACACTCAATCTCAGTTGTCATGTCTTGGATAAGAAATGGAGAAGCCTGGGATTTAGAAAGGCTTCCACTGGCCAAGGTTTTGGGTGTTAAGTTTGGTCTGCTGACAAATTTCAGTAGAAGGTGCCCAAGTCATGGACTGGAATAACCACAAAGGGTAGGGCAGGCCATAGGACCCATAAATAATGTGGGTGCAAACTCTTTCCTGGCACAGGAGAGCTCCTGGAGGCCATCAGGAGATGCTTTGCTTTGGGGAAAGGGAAGCAGGTGGCCAAACACTGCGGGGATGGGCAGAGAGGACATGGGACAGCACCCAAGGCAAGGGGCTGCGAGGCCAGGGGAGGGTAGCAAAGCTTTGGTGCTTCCCTTGGCACCCGAAATTGGGATCCTTTGGATGCACCTCGCCTCCCCCACCTCCCTCCAGAGGTTTGCAGACACAAGGCTGAGCGGGAGCAGCTCCTAATCAATGATATTAATTAATAGATGAATGGCAGACAAATGCCCCACAAATGAAAAGCAAATCCCAGCCAAGGGAAAAAAAAATGGAGAAACTGTAGCAATTTCTGCTCGGTTACCCTTGAGATTTGGCTCCAGATTCAAAGGATAGGCAGGCGGAGAGGGAGGTTGGGAGGAGGCGGGCGGGGGGAGCTGGCTCATATTCTGCTGTGACCCAATTCCATACAAAGCATCCTGTAACAAAACACGTCTCTATCTACAAAGTACAAGTAATCTTTGTTTTCAGTACAATACTTATCTGCATTTAGACCGACGATGGCAGTGCTTGGCTTATTTTCATGGATCCAGTTATCCTTTTTTTATCCCTGTGAGCATGTGTGTGTGTGTGTGTGTGTCTCCTCCTCTCCGTCCTCCTCGCTGTCTCCTGTGCCCGTGCCAAGCCAGCAGCACCCCTAGGGTGCTCTTACACATCAGCAGAGGTGCAAAGACTCGGGGTCAGTGCCAGCTGGGGGCTTTTGGGCTGCCCAAATTCTTTGGTGCCTCAGCAAAGGGTGATTCTGGGTTCTAGACCTGACCTTGTCTAACCTCATGCTGAAGAGCCCTTGAAGTGCCACCATGGAAAAATGGGAAATATTAGAGAGAAAAGATCACCCTGAGGGGTGTCTCAGACCCCCAAGGTCACAGAGGGTGGGCTCACACCAAATCCAGCTGTCCCAGTTGTGCTGAAGGGGGATGATACATCACAAACCCCCACCATGGTTTCCAGTCATAGAACACGTCATACCTGGACAGGTCTCGCCTCTTAAACTGGGGGGACAAAGCTTAAGAGAAGAGTTTTTCTCTCCAGGTCACAAAAGAAATGGGTTTCCAGTCTAGAGGATGCCCCACGATTTCAGGAATCACCAGGGTGACAGCCTTGATGCACACAGCAAGGAAGAGTCACTTCCCACTGGAATAACATTCCCTGGTCTTGGGAGTGACACAAATGAGGTTGGAGAATTGGAAAGCCCACTCAAAGACAATGAATCATGACTAGATGTTGTGAATGCTTGGATGCAGAGGCCTCATCCAGCTGGACTTCCCCTCCAGGAGGTGCTTCCATGGGAACTTATCCCTTTGCCCACCAGCCATTCATCCTTCATGGAGCATTTCCTCCTCCTCCTCCTCCCTCTCACCTCTGCTGTTCCAGAGCACTCACACGTCCCCAGCAGCAGGTCTATGGATATTTCAGGAATGTTCCCCATATTTCACAGGGGGAGAATTAAGATGTGGGTGGTAGAGGTGTCCTGCCCAAGGTCACCATAGGAATGAGTGGTTGAGGACAAATTTTCATGTGAAACCAAAGCGGTATCAACAAAACTCACCAGAGGTTTGGGAACCAAAATCTGTGCAGGAAAGTTGGAGGGTGCACAATTATTTAATCAAAAGTGAACACTGGCTTGAGAAACATCTTCTGTGGGAGGGTTAGCCCAGATTAGTGACATTGATTCACCTCCTTTCTTTAGATCAAGGCCTTGTTTTTAGTTCAGATCCCCCCACTTGCTTGCTTTAGTATTTCCTCTATTCAGCTGCTACTGAATTCCAGGTTTGCTTCTTACATTTCCTCCTTGGTTTTCTTGAGTCCAGCCCTGGAGAGTATCTCTATATTAAATAAGAATCAGGATAAACACGGAATGTAATACATGTAATTCCACGATAATCATGTGTTTTACAGGCAGTTGACAAATTTGCTCAGCTATAAGTAAATACTCTGCTCTCCCCCTCCTCCTCCCTGCCCATGGCCTGTGTTTATTTGTGATCAGTGCCACCTCCTCCCCTGAGAGCCACCTGAGCTGCTGCTGATAGGCAGATGACTCCCTGGTTCTGCTTTTCCCATGTATTTATGCATTTCCACCTGGTCATTCCTCACCCTTGGAAATCCCTTGAATTATCAACTTTTGGGACAGGATCTCCAGGCTCTTCTTGGCCCCATCGTGGAAATAAAAATGTTTTTGAACCTCTGCACATGCCTAGGTAGGCACAAAAGTGGTGGGTGGAGTTAAGGCTGAACATGATTTTCAGCTTAAAGCTTTCCACTAAAAAGGAATCTTTACTGGAAATAAACTGGGATTTTCAGTGCATTATAATGGTGCACTCTGGTCAGATTTTGGGGTGGTTTGATGAAACAATTCTTCAGCCAGTTCTGGAAAAATCAGCCTCTGGTATTCACATTGGGATTTTATTATTTTTCATGTATAAATCTCAGATAAATACATGTATAAAAACACGGAATGAGTCTGCTTCAAAGTTCAGCTGAAAGACGGATGCCCTTGTGAGGAGAAATGAGAGAAGATGTTATGGTTGGCACCAGAATTCGGAGTCTTTTACCCAGAAAAGGTGTTCTCTTGGAAGGGAATTCCATTGGGGCATTTCCAGTCTGATGTTGATATTTCTGGTTTTAGGCTGATCTTTCCAACATTCCCAGATGGATATGGAGGCTCCTTCATCACTTCACAAGTACCAGCAAGGAGATGTTGACATTCATTAATGAAGGAAGAGAAAAGGGATTTAGGATGTTTAAGAATGATTAAAGCTTGATGAAACTTTTTTTAAAATCTATACTTTTTGGTGGAACGTAGTGAAGACTAAAATGTTGAAAGAAAATGACAGTTTAAAACCCCATTTTGTTATGATTTTTGTCTTTACTATATTTATAGTGTCCCAACAAGGTTTTTAGGATATAATTTTTTTTCTCTTATTAGTGCAGTCCAAAATACAGTTGGATATTTGAAACCATTTTCAGCCTGTCATCAATATGTGATTTTTTTTTTTTTAATCTTCATAGGTTCTTTGACAATGGGAAACAAATGCTGGCAGAAGAAAGAAAATATTTTTGTTCCCAAGGTCCAAAGTGTTATGGGACAACTGTAACCATTTCTCCATGCATCACTTTGCAATTTTAATGGACATTAAAACTGATTGAATTGTCACTTTCAAGAAAAACTCAAATTGAAAGTGCTGAAGGCCAGGTTGGACAGGGCTTGGAGCAACCTGGGATGGTGGAAAGTATCCAAGTACCCCATGGCAGGGAATGGCACTGGATGAGTTTTAAGGTCCCTCTCACCCCAAACCATTCCACAATTCTGTGACTTTATGGTCTCTAAATACTATATTTTATCATGGTTATATTTATGTATTTTTCATTTTATAACATGGTTCTCAAAATGAAAACATTGCTGCCTGTGGACAGATCTGGGGGAACATCTATGGGAAAACAACCCAACATGGATGTTGGGTAAACAGTGAGCAAAAAGTTGACACTTCATTCAATCAGGTGAAATAGCAAAGCAGAGCTTTGCTGGGCAAAGAGTGAAGAAAGTAATTTAAATGCCCATAAGATGCAAAAGAGATGAAACATGGAATAAATCAGAGAGGAAAATTTCCATGAAGGTAGCCAGAGCAAGTAGGTTTTGGGATTTTTTTTGTTTAAAAAAAAATAAATGAAGGCTGGATGGGGTTTGGAGAAACGTGGTCTAGTGGAAGGTGTCCCTGCCCATGGCTGGGGGTGGAATGAGATCAACTTGAAGGCCCCTTCCAACCCAAACCATTCTGGGAATGCAGCAGGGAAAATTTAAGTCAGATGTTCAGAAAAAACTGCTGGTGCTAAAGATAGAAAAACACTGGGATACATTTCCTTGGGAGGTGGCAGAGTGACCAGTGTGGGATGTTTTTAGGAAGAGCATGGGTGAACATCTCTCAGGGCTGCTTTGGACCTGTGTGATCCCACCCTGGGCAGGGGGAAGGGATTAAATGGGACCTCGTGTTCCTGTCAGCCCTGAATCCTGCACCTCCAAAGCCTTCCCAGGAATTTGTTGTCATGTTAGAGCAAGCTCTGCTCAGATTGAGCCACGACAGGGAGGGAGCTGGGGGCAGAGGGAGCTCTCAGATTCCCTCAGGGAAAGGGGAAAGCCAACACAACTCACATGGAACAGAAAGCCACTGGACACAGGATCAAGGTCACAGCAGAGTGTCCCAGAGCCCTGGGACCTCAGCCTTGGGCTGGCTTCTGGCTCCAGGAGCCCCAGGGCCACCAGAGTCCCCAAGACCAAGAATGAGGCCACCAGAGCTGATCCCACATGGGTGGAGATGACCTCCTGTAGTGGCTGTACTTCTCTACAGGGAGGCATCAAGAAGAGATTTGTGGGTGCAGAAGAGGATTCCAAAGACCAGAGGCCTCTTTCATCCATGGATTTCAGCACCAAAAAACCCCAGGAAGGAGCCCCAGCTCCAGCCCACCTAAACCCAGTGGTGGATTTCATCTCTCCTCCCCAGCAAGTTACTCAGAGCGTTTCAACGCGGAGACAGAGAGCTGGGACAACAATCCCTAAAAATTCACCACTTATTTGGATTTGGAATGGTGCCAAGCTGTGCTCCCACGTGTGGGAGAGGGACTGAGAAGTTCTGAGTCGCTTCTCCCCACCACACTGGGGTTAGTGGCTTGGGACTTTGGCAGAGCTCTGGGATGCTGGGAATAAAGAGATGGAGCACTTTTCCAAGGGGACAGAGAAAAAGAGACAGAGGGAGGCAGAGAAAGGAGGGGCCGGGGAGAAAATGGGAGAGAGAAAGAGAGAGAGAGAGAGTGCAGGGAGGAGGGGAAATGAAAGGATATTATTTTTTTTTGTATCTGTCATTTCCCTGCTATCTCCCATATGACTTCTTAATCCATCAGAATGCTGGGAAGATAATGTTTTGGGCGAAATAACATGAGAGAGAGGATAGACTCCCAAGGACCAATATCTTTATTGCTCGGAGGATAAACGGATTATGTCAGCCATTTTCTGTTGCTGACAGCTTTTCTTATTAACCGATTTTATTTTTTAATCTTCCAGGGAAGAAATATGGTTTTATGTCACAATAAAACGCCGGTCACATCTAATTCTGCCCTCAAACAAACAGATTTCTGAAAGCCTTGCAGAGAAATTTGAAATAACTTTAAAGAGGGGGTTTTTGGATAAAGTCTTTAT